GGTAGCAGAAGTCAATTCGTTTTACCTTTCTTCGCGGTAACATGTTGGATATCGGCAAGAGAATTGTCTTAGTGCTTTTTATTTTTCCACTACTGTACGAGCTCAATAATTGCGAGGTAATTGAAAAAAATTCTTTGATTTATTTTAAGAATAGAATATATTTTTCTTGATATCAGCGCAACTTTGGCATTGGTTTGTATTACATGAATTACACTGCCGGTCCAAAGTATAACTTCAGTGTATTCAATTACAAATTCTACAGTGTGGACAATAAAATGCTAGTTTACGTTGAATTTAAAGTATATGAAGAGGCTAATTTTACTGCAAATATCAAACTCGATATGCTACGTGCTAATAATAAGCAAATTAATTTGCTAAATATAGAACAACACGGCTGTAATCTATTAAGCGGTGTGCATAACAGTAGATTATTGAAAATTATAACAGAGCAAATTCTTCGAGTTACCAACATGAGGTGTCCACTATTAGCAGTAAGTGTGTTTGAACTACCTTTAATCTTTCTTTTTATCCATTGTTCTTATTTTTATCTAGAATAAACTATATTTCATCAATAATTATACTTTGACTATGTCTTCACTTCCTTCATTCGTACAGCCACTACACTGGGTTATACAAACAAAATTTAAGCTTAACAATAAATACGTTGGCTATATGATTCTTCAGGGCAATATTTACAAACTTAAAAATGTTTCGCCAAAATTGAAGTCCTGAACCTGTTAATGTATTTGAAAGTTAACATTGTAAAAAAGCTTTGAAATTTCTAAGAATTATGTACATTTTAATCTCTTTAACTAAATATACCAACTTCAGCAAACCTAACCGGCTACTATTATAGTGTTTTAGTGTTGTGATGCTAACGCCAAGCATACCCGAAGCAACCAAGTACAACGCCTTTGTGTATTTTTCAATTAACCTATTTTGCTTCAGTCTATCAGTGGTTCCAGTACTTCTCCTATAACAACGCGGTTGTGAAGACTCTACTAACACTTTTTCAGGCAAAGTGGCGATATTTTAACCAAAATTACTATGAGAAAAGTATACGCTTCCATACAATCAATCTCCGAAAGTATGGTGCCTCATTGACATTAAAATTACCAGATCAGATGCGACGAAACTAAAATTGAATATGATTGGCTGTTACATTGTCAGCGCCATAAACACTATTCTCATTTTCCATTACCTAGTTTCCGTTTTTGCCTCTACCGAACACAAACTTTAAAATATGACGTTTTTTCTCTTTCCTCTCTTTCCTGATGAGCTTTTAGAGTAGGAGATCTTAACTTTCCAACGCCATACTTGGTAACCCAATCGCATTGTCAAAACACGAGATACAGTTTACTAAATCAACCATAAATTGAAATAAAAGGATTTTTTGATTTGTAAATTATTTGAATCGTTCAATTTCGGTTACTTAAAAGGTAAATTGTTGAGAATTATTCAGTGAAGACGTTATGTGTGTTTCATACAAAAAGATCAACTACAGGTTGAAATTTGCTACGATGCCACGAAGAGGGCGCATTAATATTGATCGGCATTCAAGACGTACAGCTCGTTGTACGGAAAAGGAAAACGCTACTGCAAGCAAATTTGCTAGCATCGGAGTGATTGAACATCGTGGGCGACAATAACAAGAGGTTCACGAAGCTTAAAATGATGTATTGAATACAATGCTCGCGACAGACTGCAAACGACATCTGTCAAATATTAAAATACACACGTTCTTATGGACGAACCTATTTTGACGGCTGCACGACTACACGACTGCAGGCCGACAGTTGTAGAATGGAAGATAGAGAAATGAGGTAGGCTGGTGATGCCACTAATATGTAAAATTGCTCATAGATCCAACAAACCTGACGTAATTTTACAAATAAAAGCATAAAATAGCTCTGTTACATCATTTATAATAACAATTTATAATTTTAAACAAATAAATTTACCTATTTACTTATTTTTTGCTTAAAAATTTCACTTTGAACAAAATATTAAAATTTCATTGAAGTGCAAGGTATTAGTATATCCACAACGAAATTGTGTACATGCAAACTGGACCACTGCGTTGCTTTGTGTACATACCGGCCATTGTTATGTTGCTGCCCTCACACAAACGTTCATGTAGTAGGATTCACAACGCCATTTTCAGTTCACTGTCGTGCTGCTGCAGTCTGTCGCGAGCATTGTGTTCCGCTCATGAGACCTTTCAATTTGGTACAATGGCATTCAATTTAGAGAATTAAATATCGTAGTTGACAGCACATGGATCGTACCATATTCGCCATTGTCTAAGACATTCAAAACTCATATCAATATGGAGTATAACAGTTCGGTGAATTTGTTCAAATACGTTTTGTAAGTACGTCAGCAAAGGAAACGGAAGGAATAGCGACATGGCAGTTACTGGCCTTGAACGAGATGAGATCAGCAAGTATCAAATGGGTCGATACTTGAACTGCAAAAAGTAGAGTTGAGTTCCAAACATTTGACACATCAGCTCAAACGTATTGAAATTCCAGTGAAACTTGCATTTCCGATGAAAATCAACAGTTCGCCAGGACAGTTGCTAAAAGTTCATTTTAAAACACACGCAGGGCAACACTTGCAGGGTCAGCTAATACCTCATATACATTGTATACGAAACAAGTGTAGACTTTTCAGCTTGGATTGGGCTATAATACCAATTGATTAATGCAAAAGATTACTTTTAAACCACTATTTTTTTTTTATATTTAGATTATATATATATGTATATATATTTATTCATATTTAATTACGTACAACTAACATTAAGAGATCTAATGGGTATAAAATGATCTAAATATAAAAAAATAATAGTTTAAAAGTAATTCTTTTGCATTAATCAATTGGTTTTATAGCCCACTCCAAGCTGAAAAGTCTACACTTCGCGGAAACATGTTGGTTATCGGCAAGAGAATTGTCCTAGTGCTTTTTATTTTTCCACTACTGTACGAGCTCAATAAGTGCGAGGTAATTGAAAAAAATTCTTTGATTTATTTTAAGAATAGAATATATTTTTCTTGATTTCAGCGCAACTTTGGCGTTGGTTTGTATTACATGAATTACACTGCCGGTCCAAAGTATAACTTCAGTGTATTCAATTACAAATTTTACAGTGTGGACAATAAAATTGTAGTTTATGTGGAATTTAAATTATATGAAGAAACTAATTTCACTGCAACTGTCAAACTTGATATGCTACGTGCTAATAATAAGAAAATGAATGTGTTAAATATACACCAAGACGGCTGTAAGCTATTAACCGGTGTGCATAAAAGTAGATTATTGAAAGTTATATCAGAGCAGATTATTCAGGTTACCAACATGCCGAAGAAGTGTCCTCTTTTAGCGGTGAGTGTGTTTGAAATACCTTAAAAGCTTATTATTATTATTTTTTTTCATTTTATTTTTTTCATTGTTCTTTTTTTTTTTTTTTTTTTTTTTTTTTTTTTTTTTTTTTTTTTTTTTTTTTTTTTTTTTTTTTTTTTTTTTTTGCAGAATAAACTATATTTCATCAATAACTACACTTTGACTGCAGAATCACTTCCTCCTTTCATGCAGCCAATGCACTGGGTTATACAAACAAAATTTGCGAGTAACCATAAATATGTTGGGTATATGATTCTTCAGGGCAATATTTACAAACTTAAAACGGTTTCAACAAAGTTAAACCCGGGAAGTAATTCTAAGAATCATGTATAATTTAATCTCGTTGACTAAATATACCAATTCCAGCAAACTTAATCGGTTATTATTAAAGTGTATTAATGCTGTTGTAGTGTCAATGGCAAATATAACCGAAACCATCGGGTACAACGCCTTTGAGTACTTTTAAATTCAATTATTTTCTCCGGTATATAAGTGGTTAAAGTAATTATCGTAACTATAACAACGGGAGTGTGAAAATTCTGCTAACGCCTTTTTGGAAAATCTTTGGCATTTTGACCAAAATGACACAATGAGAAAAGTGTGCGCTTCTTATAGTAACCAATCTAGATTTCTCTTAACTAGCTTGACCCAAAATATAGTCTTCTCTGGAAACATGTTTTATTGCATCCAAAACTTAACTCATATTCTAAGTGTGGAATCTGCCGTAAGGATATTGATAATGATACAGTTCATAGTTCTAGCGAAGTTAAAACTCTTGTCTATAATTTGCCTCTAATTTTCCTAGCGACAAACGGCAGGATGCGATCCATTTTCCTTATGGATTTGTGTGCTACATTGACGTTTTAACCATCTCATTGACCGATAAGTTGCTCTCAAAATACATAATAAATTCTGCATAACTGAGGTCGTATTGTCAGCTTCATTGGTACATCAGAGATATGTTATGAATTTCCCAATTGACTGCAAACTGACAAAAAATAAAACATATTTTCTCTTTCCTGGTTACCATCTTTGACGCACGCTTACACTATAATGGGTAAAGCAACGACAAAACTCACTTAAGAGCCGTTTTAGTACGAAATCTCAACTTTCTAGCGCCATATTACGTAACCCAATCGTAGTTTCAAAACACGAAATACGGATTACCAAATTCATCAATTAAAATATACAAATAGGCTTTCTCATATATTCAGCAGCCGCTGATTGCGACATTTTGGGACCTTTCGGGTGGATGCAAAGGAACACAGCTACGTAGCGCGACGCGTACTTAGTACTCATGGCGTTTAACGTGATTCTCTTTCAAAAGATCAACAACAACTGAACCTTTGTTGACAATGCAGCAAGGACAAAGCTTCCCTCTATCGGTTCGCGAAGGAATTAGAGCGAAATCTTTCATTAACTGTCGGCAAAGTCGACCACGCTCTTACTTGACAGACTGTAATATTATATTATATACAAAATACATTTTATAATCAACAATAGCACTGAAACTGAAATTAGTTATTAAAATCAAAATATATATTTATTCATATACAATTAACATTGAAAGAGTTTAATTGAAGTTAAATGTCACTAATGGGTATAAAATTATACAAATATTGTATTTAAAAAATTTTGGATTAAAAATAACTCTTTTACATTAATCAATTGGTTTTATATTTCACTCCAAGCTGAAAAGTCTAAACTTCGCAGAAACATGCTGGATATCGGCAAACGATTAATCTAGCGCTCTTTGTTCTACCATAACTGTACGAGCTCTATAACTGGGAGGTAATTGAAAAAATTCTTTAAATTATTTTATGAAAAAAATTATGTGCGTTGATTTCAGCGCAACTTTGGCATTGATATGTATTACATGAATTACACTGCCGGTCCAAAGTATAACTTCAGTGTATTCAATTACAAATATTACAATGTGGGCAATAAAGTCCTAAGATAGTTTATATTGAGTTGGAATTATATGAAAGTGGTAATTTCACGATACATACCAAAGTTGATATGCTAACAATAACAAAATGAATTTGCTAGATATAGAGCAGGACGGCTGTAAGTTAATAAACGGCGTGCACAAAAGTCGATTTTTGAAAATTATGGTGAGGAAGATTATTTGAGTTGTCAACTTGACGGCGAAGTGTCCGATTTTAGCAGTGAGTATGTTTGAAATACCGTTAGTGTATTTTCTTTGCTGTCTTGTCCCTTTTATCTAGAATAAACTATATATCGTCAATAACTACACTTTGGAAGAGGAATCACTTCCTTCATTCGTGTCGTCAATGCACTGGATAATTGAAACTAAATTTGTGCTTAACAAAAACTACGTTGGTAATATGATTCTTCAGGGTAATTTTTTCAAACTTAAAACGAATGCCACAAAGTTGAAGACCTAAATAAATATTCTTTATATTTTAATAACATATTATATCAACGAGTGTATCTAATATAAATTCTAGGAAAAAGAGGGACAAAGTTGTGTATTGATTACCCGATCAATCAGTGGTTCGAAGATACAGTCCACCAAAAATATTTAAATTTGTGTCGTCATGAGTTTTAAGATATTCTAATATACCTAATCAAATATCTTGCTCGGTTTTTTTTAGGTGTTACAAACAACCGTTAGGTGAGCTAAACTATTATACTACATGCAACATGTTTCGAGAGTATAAAAAGAGAGCATAATTAAAGTGGTCCCAAGTTGTAAAAACTCGTTAGCTCTGAAAGTTTGGCAAAAGGTGCACTTGGGTTCTTTATCACAAAAAACCGATAACCATTCGTCATTGAAATCCAGTCAAATGGTATGGAATTTCTAGAGAGTATACTTGTTAGTTATATTATTTTGTTTTCATGGGAATAATGATGTTTCCTGTCGCTATAAGTAACTGCGGCAACCCATACTTCCGGAACACTACAGTATCTTCCAGGCAGGCGTAAGTCTTTGTGGTTAGGAAAGCTGCTGGTAATATAAAGAAGAACAATATATATCCCAAGGGCCATGCGGTATTTAAAGCATTAAACTCAGAACTTATTACGTCAGAGAAAGTATCTAAGAAGCAGGGAGTCTGTCGATGTAATGACTGCCGGAAAGCGGTTTCCCACCATATATTCTGGGTTCTAGGCCCCAAGAGCATTCCAGGAAATGAAATGCAATCCGTCTGGTTACTGAAGCAGTACAGGAAATATGTTACATAATACACTAAAAACGATACAGCATGAAATTTCCGAAACGGCTGATAGACGGAACATGGTGAGATGGAATGCCTTCTGGACATTCAGGTTCACGAAGTTCATGTACAAGAGCTATGAAGAAAAACACACATTCTTTTTACTCAGACACTCTCGAAACTACTGCAGGAAAGTTGTTGGTCTTAGATATTTAGGAGCTTCCCAGGGACGAGATGAAGTTTCAAAAATTAGATATACATATATCAAGTTTCCCTCAAGGTTCACAAAAAACGTTGACGTTCTCTGTGACGATAAGTTCCATCGAATTAAACTGAAGCACCATTCGGCATTACAAAGAATCAGTAGGTCTACGAGTCACTCATAGCCGACTAGTATAGCTTAACCTATGTACGTTGGAATAGGTATAACAGTGAAAACAAAACAATATCGGTTTGTTATCGGTTATGTTGAAATTACAAAAATGCTAAAGGAAACACAGAGAACAGTAATGAAATGTATAAACAAACTGCAATATTGCTAATGCTGCGAGCATTATCACAGGTAGTAACATTGCAACAACAACAGTTCAACACATTGCCACCAGGTTCAGTGTGGTCGACCAGTTACCCTGCCATGGCTACAACACGCTCTTTAGCACATTCATAGCTCTGTAGACATATATACATGTATGAATATGGAACAATGAGTTCCACCATCACTGCAGCAGCTACTGTTATTTAGCTGTGCAACTGCCGCAATGTTGTTTTACTTTCATGCGCTGCTTTATTATCCGCATGGCATTGCCGTCATTACGTGTGTACGCAAAATTAGCGTTAGCTCAGATAGAAAGAGTTAATAACTTGCAGTCGCACAAAAATATAGTACACATCTGTGGCAACACACGGATGAGTGATGAAGATGTTATTTACTTATGGCAGTGCAGTGGCTGCAAAGTGTGAATTGCCCGCGCGCTGCGTGTGCGTCAATGTGACGGGGTTGTTGCCACTTGGAGAAAAAATTTGTTACATTGTTGCGTTATTGAATAGCAAAAATACAAAAAAAAAAAAATGAAATAAAATAAGAAATAAAAATAAAAATAAAAAAGTAAAAATAAAAATTAAGGAATTGTTAAGTTCGGATATAGAGGAACATTTCATAGTCTAGCAACTAGCAAGTACGATCGGGCTAACACCTTCAGGTACATAAGAGTTGAGTTTTTGGCCGCTTTTATTTATTTTAGGCATTCACCATTATAATAAAAAATTTACATTGAGATAACTCACATATTGACCGATATATACGGCATATAGTCACCCAGAAGCTCAAAAATCTTTATATTAGATATATGAGGGCTAAGGGAAGTATTCACCGGTTTCAAACCATAGACAAACAAGTTTCAGGAAAAAGTTCGCTCCGAATTTCAATCACATATTTTCGGTAAAAAGTCAACTATAGAACAGTTTTGGTTCGTGACATGTTCGAAGCTACTATTCGGGAAAATTTTCATTGTTTAATTGCTTCATGAATTAAATACCAGAACGTGAAAGAATCAAAAAGAATTAAAAATTATGTTATATCGAAAATAGGCGTGGTTGTAGTCCCATTTCGCCTGTGACAAAGAAATGTTCAAATAATAATATGTACCGAATTTGATAGAAGTCGGTCGAGAAGATCCCGAGACATGTGATTTACTAAAAAAAAAGCGCTGTCATGCCAATTTTTCAACTTCAACTCCAGTTCTATAAGAATGCGTTTCGAGCGCTTTGCTCAACCTATGGTCGACGTACATAATAGGCCTACTCAGCATACTATTCGCAACATCATCACCCACTTTAAAACCCAGCATTCATTATTGGATAATATTCGACCGAAAATATAGCAGACGTAGATGACAGTCTAAATGAAGATCGTGGGAGTTGATTCGGTGCCGCTCGCAGCAATTCAAACTGACGTACAATATAGCTTGTGCAAGAACTGAAGCCGCTCAACCTTCTTAAGGGGCAACGCTTCGCTCTGTGGGTTCTTTAAAAGTTTCAAGAATATCCAATGTTTTCGAAATTGTCGAATTTGAGACGAAGAGCAACCTGAAAAGATTCAAGCGCTGTTATTTCATCCTGTAAAAATAACGGTTTTGTGTGGTTTGTGGGCCAGTGAAATCAGCGGTCCATATTTCTTCAAAAATGATGCCGTTGCGAATTATTTTCAGCGAGTCTAAATTATTTATAATTCTTTACACAAATTATATTTTTTTAAATAATTTATGTAAATTTTTTTTTTTTTTGAAAACACAATAAATCAAAAAAGTAAACTTATGAAGGTTTTCTGGTATACCCAATTCGTATAACCACTTCATAACCCCTAAAATAAGCACTTCTATAATTTAATTATGTTAAAAAAAGTTCCTCGCAGTGTATCATACAATTTTCGCTGACTTCCCATTCAACAAAAGCACACTTACACACATTCACATATAAACACATAATATACACTACTGCATGCGTTGGTTGTTGGAGCTGGCTCAGAGCTGCAACCAAAGTTGTTAGTTAGTACGAATGACCCATTTTTTATTCACAAATGTGCAACAGCAATGGCGCCTAAGTGCCCTCACACCCACCAGCAGCGCCCATACAGCAGAGCATAAGAGCATAAACATCATATCATGTCGTCTATTTACGCTCGCATCTGTGTGTCAACGGTTTGTGCGAATGTTTGCGGGAATTATTAACACCAACTCCAGGCAAAGTGTGCGTAAATGAGTTGTTCTGTTCTACTCCACAAGCTCCACTCAGCTCCACACACCGCACACACCCATCTGCCTTCTCTCTGCATGTGGCGCTGTCAGTAAGCAGCTTGAATGGCTGGCTGGCTGACTGACTGCTGCGCTTTGGGCGACTGCGCGTGTGTGTGAGTGGTTGTAGGCGGTAAAATACCTGTGTAAAATGCGATAAAGTGTTGGCAGTTAGGCTTATTTGGCAACACAAAATGACATATAAACGCACACTTGTACCCCGACACCGCGGCATCACGACACACCTGCGCGACTTAAGCGAGCGTAAAATGTGGCAATTTACTAGCGAATTTTATGACATTTGAACGCATTCGTTTTAATATTTGCTCAGCTATTTCGGTGAATCCATTACAGCTACATGCATACATGTACACATATACACATACAAACATACATATGCATGCTAAGTAAGTACGTATGAATATTGATCATAAATTTTTGATATGACATTAAATGGTGGATATTTTACATGCCGAAATATCAAAAAAGAAATGCACAAGATATTTATAGCAACAACATTATAACGGCATTTTTATTATTTTCACCTGTGGTGTTCAACGCAGTTGATAATAAAACGACTATATTATATATTATCAGAGATATGTTATCTGGGAATGTTGTTTCACCAAAAATTGCAAAATATGGTTGCCACTTTTTTCACAAAGACAAAATTGAACTGGAAATAAGAAATCTTAGGTTAAATGCAACCAAAAAATTTAATTAAGCTTCAATACGGATTATCATTGCCAATAGAGTGGCCACTTTTGATAAACAAACTGGAAATAAAATTAATAACCAAACATGTCATACCCTTGCAAAGCCAGAGAAATACATCCAGGTGCATAAAGTACTACACACGAGTAAACACTTGGCTTCATGTGCAACGCGGCTGGATAACTTTGCCTTACTCACCTTTCTCAGGCCCCCTTCTGAGCCTCATATGTTCCGGTCGATGCAGAACGCCCTTACTACGTTTCTTATCAGAACAGGGTAATAAAAATTTGCTTTGTTCGTTCTTGGACGCCAAACCGGCGCATTTCTTTTGGGATGGAGCTTTAACGAATTCAAGAAAATCTTAGAAAAATGCAAATTTTTCTCGTTTTTTATAAAGATCCAACGGCATTACTAACGAAACTAAACACTCCGGTGTTGCGATCAGTTCTCACTCAATCTTAACGGTGATTTTAACGTTTTCTCTCAATTCCACGAATTTAGAAGCATCCGACTTAAGTAAACTTTAATCCATTTAAACAATTAGTTTTTAAAAATTTCAATATTTTAACCGCATTAAAGGAAAATATTAATAACTTAATCAAATAAAGATTCTACTGATTTTACAATTACTATATAGATTCCCTTCCAATTCGAATCTCTTCTTTAGGACAAATACAATCAGCATCAACATTTTTTTTTTAATACATAATTCT